TTTTCGTCTCCTGCAATGCGAATTCATTGCTCACTGTTCTTTTTTATGCTCTGACATGTATCCCAAAGGACAAGTGATGCTGTTGTTGTTGTTGTTCCTGCTGTTGTTGTTGAGTCAGCTGAAGACGGGTCATGGGGAGTTCAGCCATCGCCCAGTAAACCAGACAATGTTAAGCCTCCAGCAATACAAAACCGGAAAGGAAGTAGGGCAGCAGAGGAGGGAGAGAGGGAGGGAGGGTCTCCAGTTTTGGTCCGTCTGCAAAGAGGGTCAGAAGGCATTAACAGAGCCAGATCAATACCTGCGGAGCGCCCCAGTTGCACCCGAGTCTTCCCGAATAAATAACATGATGCAATACGATGTTTGTTCCTGGATTTGTAGTTTAATCAGCTCTCATTTAACTGGCACCCATGGTTGATGAGGGATAAATGTAATTTCTGGTTGCCTGAGAGTTACTCTTAAAATCATAGCTGTGGCGCATGAAACTGGTTGTCTTGGAGAAGTAGTATCTCAGTGATGGGTCCGTAAGTGACGATAGTTAACTATTCTGTATCCTCACGGTTTCTATCATATAATAATAGGGAAGCTAATAGTAGTAAACTGTTTCAAGTGCAAAAAACAAAGAGTGAATACTGTAAAAACATAATCCAGAGCAAAAGAGAAAACTGGCGAAAGAAGGCTCTCCATGGACAGTTCCTGGGGAAAATTGAGAGCCAAATTGACAAAGAAAAAACATGGCTATCACCACTGAAAAAGGAGACAAAGGAGGGCCTGATTCTGGCAGCCCAAGAACAAGCCAGCAGAACAAATGCCAACAAAGCCAGAACTGAAAAGTCGACGACAGATCCCAAGTGTAGAATCTTCAAGAAGCAGACGAAAAGATACATCACATCCTCAGCTGCTGCAAGAAGATTGCGCAGACAGACTACAAGCAGAGGCATAACACCATTGCTCAGATGATTCATTGGAACTTCTGCCACAAATACCATCTGCCTGTGATGAAGAACTGGTGGGATCACAAGTCAGAAAAAGTTACAGAAAATGAACACGTCAAGCTACTCTGGAAGTTCCGAATTCAGACAGATAGTTATAGAGCACAATACTCCTGGCCTCATGATCATGTTAAAAAACAAAGTCGATGTTGCAGTCTCAGGTGACAGCAGGATTGAAGAGAAACAACTGGAAAAGATGACACAATATGAGGATTTAAAGATTGAACTGCAAAGACTCTGGCACAAACCAGTAAGGGTGGTCCCAGTGGTGATTGGCACACTGGGTGCAGTTCCTAAAGACCTTGGCTTGCACTTAAACACAATTGGCGCTGACAAGATTACCATCTGCCAGCTGCAAAAGGCCACCTTACTGGGATCTGCACGCATTATTTGCCGATACATCACATAGTCTTAGATACTTAGTGTCCGACATGTGATCCAATACAACAGCCAGCAGAGTGCCTGTTGTGGACTCATCATGTTGTGTTTCAAATAATAATAATTATTATTATTATTTATACCCCACCACCATCCCCCTTAAGGAACTTGGAGTGGCTCACAAAAGCACTCAATGCATTATTGCATATTGCATGACTTACATGTAAATATGCATCTGCTGCATTTCTGCACATTGCATGACTTACATGTGGATATGTGTCTACCGCATTTCTGCACATTGCATGACTTAGATATGGATATGCATCTTATGCATTTCTGCACATTGCATGACTTACATGTGGATATGTGTCTGATGCCATTCTGCACATTTCATGACTTGGATATGGATATGCATCTCATGCATTTCTGCACATTGCATGACTTACATGTGAATATGCGTGTGATGCCTTTCTGCACATTTCATGACTTAGATATGGATATGCATCTCATGCATTTCTGCACATTGCATGACTTAACATGTGGATATGCATGTGATGCATTTCAGCACATTGCATGACTTAGATATGGATATGCGTCTGCTGCATTTCTGCACATTGCATGAACTACATGTGGATATGTGTCTAATGCATTTCTGCACATTGCTGACTTAGATGTGGATATGATTCTGATGCATTTCCGCACATTGCATGAATTACATGTGGATTATTCTGATGCATTTCCGCACATTGCATGAATTACATGTGGATATGCGCCTGGTGCATTTCAGCACATTGCATGACTTAGAAGTGGATATATATCTGATGCATTTCTGCACATTGCATGACTTTTTTTTTTGTCGTGTCAGGAGCAACCGCTCCTGTTGTGAGAGAATTGGCTGTCTGCAAGGACGTTGCCCAGGGGACGCCTGGATGATTTTTGATGTTTTATCATCCTTGTGGGAGGCTTCTCTCATGTCCCCGCATGAGGAACTGGAGCTAATAGAGGGAGCTCATCCGCCTCTCCCCGGATTCGAACCTGTGACCTGATGGTCTTCAGTCCTGCCGGCCATTAGCCTTTTAATCGCAGTGTGTGTGTGTGTGTTTCTATGTGGCTGGGGTTCATCTTAATGACTGAGACCGCCTTTTGGGAAAGCATCCAGGAGCCTAGACGCTATAAGGGCCGTGAAAGAGAGCGTTGTGGCCAGCTTGAGTCTATAGCCGCATTGAGTGCAAAGGAAAGGCTTTCGGCTCTGGCTGAAAGGTTTGATTCTTTCGCACATTCAGCCATCTGTATCGAATTGAACATCTTGCCCGAGAGGCCCTCAATCTGAACTTTCCGGAAACGGTCCCCCTTTTAAAAAGTTTAATAACTTCCTCCACTGCTGGAAAAATTCAAATCGAGGGGCACAGAGAAAGAAACCCAGCAAAAAGATACTCAACCGGCTGCAGCTCTATAATGACCGAGGCCCCATCTACATGGTCATATAATGCAGTTTCAAATGCTGTTATATGGTCAGTATCGCCTGCCTAAATCTATGAGTTTTCTGGGCTGCCTGGCCATGTTCCAGAAGCATTCTCTCCTGACCTTTCGCCCACATCTATGGTAGGCATCCTCAGAAGTTGTGAGGTCTGTTGGAAATGAGACAAGTGGATTGTATATGTATCTGTGGAATGATGTCCAGGTTGGGAGAAAGAACTCGTCTGTTTGAGGCAAGTGTGAATGTTGCAGTTGACCACCTTATTTAGCATCAAATGGCCTTGCAGCTTCAAAGCCTGGCTGCTTCCAGCTTGGGGGGATCCTTGGTTTATATACTTGTTGAATAATGTCCAGGGCAAACAACAACAACAATAACAACAACTCCTGCAGATTCCAATCAGCATGATCTCCCAACCAGAATAATCAGACTATTTAGTTGCTGTGACTTTTTTGGGCTGTCTGGCCATGTCCCAGAAAGGTCATCAATAAATAAATAAATAATCAAGTTGGCCAAGTGCAACATTCACACTTCACAACATTCAACAGACAAGAGTTCTTTCTCCCACCCTGGACATCATTCCACAAATATATAAACCCCATTTTCCTAGTTTCCAACAAACCTCACAACCTATGAGGATGCCTGCCATAGATGTGGGCAAAACGTCAGGAGAGAATGCTTCTGGAACATGGCCGGACACCTGGAAAACTCACTGCAACCCAATAATAAAACAGCATTATAATTATATATATTTTATATATTACTAGTTGTATTGTATTTAATGCCTTAGTATTATTACATTGCAATATTATTATTGTTACATATTATTATATTATATTATTAACATTAGCATTATAGTGTATTATGTGGAGCCCCCGGTGGCAGAGTGGGTTAAAGCCCTGTGCCGGCAGGACTGAAGACCGACAGGTCGCAGGTTCAAATCCGGGGAGAGGTGGATGAGCTCCCTCTATCAGCTCCAGCTCCTCATGCGGGGACATGAGAGAAGCCTCCCACAAGGATGATAACAACATCAAAATCATCCAGGCATCCCCTGGGCAATGTCTTTGCAGACGGCCAATTCTCTCACACCAGGAGTAACTCCTGACACGAAAAAAAAATAGTGTATTATATTATATACTAAAAGCAAACCAATCCAAATCTCAGGTAGACTGCGCCTGTGTCTGGAGGCTCTACTGTATAATACTGTATTACTCTCAGGTAGACTGTGCCTGTGTCTGGAGGCTCTACTGTATAATACTGTATTACTCTCAGGTAGACTGCGCCTGTGTCTGGAGGCTCTACTGTATAATACTGTATCACTCTCAGGTAGACTGCGCCTGTGTCTGGAGGCTCTACTGTATAATACTGTATTACTCTCAGGTAGACTGCGCCTGTGTCTGGAGGCTCTACTGTATAATACTGTATTACTCTCAGGTAGACTGCGCCTGTGTCTGGAGGCTCTACTGTATAATACTGTATTACTCTCAGGTAGACTGCGCCTGTGTCTGGAGGCTCTACTGTATAATACTGTATCACTCTCAGGTAGACTGCGCCTGTGTCTGGAGGCTCTACTGCATAATACTGTATTACTCTCAGGTAGACTGCGCCTGTGTCTGGAGGCTCTACTGTATAATACTGTATTACTCTCAGGTAGACTGCGCCTGTGTCTGGAGGCTCTACTGTATAATACTGTATTACTCTCAGGTAGACTGCGCCTGTGTCTGGAGGCTCTACTGTATAATACTGTATTACTCTCAGGTAGACTGCGCCTGTGTCTGGAGGCTCTACTGTATAATACTGTATTACTCTCAGGTAGACTGCGCCTGTGTCTGGAGGCTCTACTGTATAATACTGTATTACTCTCAGGTAGACTGCGCCTGTGCCTGGAGGCTCTATTGTATAATACTGTATTACTCTTAGGTAGACTGCGCCTGTGTCTGGAGGCTCTACTCACAGCAACCTTATGTGGGGATATATTACCATTCAAACTTAGTCTAACCAAGTATGACTCCAAGGCTGAAACTCTGCCTGTCTTCCTCCTGTCCCTTCAGATTCATGCACTGGGAGGAATAAGAGATTATATTTTTGGAGGCAGCATCCATGATTCTTTCTCTTCACTTTGGGTTTGATGTTGTCCTTTTGCTTCTGTTTCTGAACAGTTCTGGAAGATGCCAGTGCAAAACGGGGGCCACGGGCCTGAAGTGTGCCCAGTGCCAGGAAGGGCACTCCAAGTTCAATGGCACGACCTGCGAACCTTGCCGGTGCAACAACCACTCTGCAAAATGTGACCCTCGGACAGGTAAAAATGCAGGGATCCCATTGGGGTTTGAGGTGGCCATTGATTTTTCATTGTGTGAGAAGAGCGACTTGAGAAATTGCAAGTCGCTTGTGGTGCGAGAGCATTGGTCGTCTGCAAGGACGTTGCCCAGGGGACATTGCCCGGATGTTTTGACATTTTAACCATCCTTGTACTTACTTAGGCGATCCCTCGTTGTCCGAGTAGGATAATCCTCCAGGGTGGGTCCGTAGGTGACTCTGCAGCCCTATTCTTGATCTGCGTCTTCTCCCGCAGTCAGGACATTGGTTTCCAGGTGGAAGGCAGTCCTGGTCGGGGTTGGCTTGATGCGCCTTCTTCTTGGCACGTTTCTCTCTTTTGTCCTCCATTCATGCCTCTTCAAATTCTACAGCACTGCTGGTCACAGCTGACCTCCAGCTGGAGCGCTCAAGGGCCAGGGCTTCCCAGTTTTCAGTGTCTATGCCAGAGTTTTTAAAGTTTGAGCCCATCTTTAAATCTCTTTTCCTGCTCACCAACGTTCTGTATTCCATTCTTGAGTTTGGAGTAGAGCAACTGCTTTGGGAGATGGTGGTAGGGCATCTGGACAAGGTGGCCGGTCCAATGGAGTTGATGGTGGAGAACCATCGCTTCATTGCTGGTGGTCTTTAATATATAATAATAATAACTTTATTTTTATACCCTGCCAAACATCACGCTGAGGACACAGAATGAGGGTTCTAAATAGAAATAAATATGAATATAAATATTAAATAGACTCATAGAATAGAGTTAGAAGGGACTCTACCATGGTATTGGGGGAGAACAGACAGGAAGGAAGGAGAGAAGAAAGGAGGAGGGAAAAGGGGAAGGAATGAAGGAGGGAAAAGGGGAAGGAAGGAAAGAGAGAAAGGGAGGGAAAGAAGGAAAGGAAAGAGGGAAGGAGAGAATGAAGAAAAGAAAGAGGTACTGAAGGAAGGAAGAAGAGAAAGTAGAAAGGAAAGAAAAAGGGAAGAAAAGGCAGGAAGAGGTAAAGAAGGAAGGAATGAGAGAAAGTAGAAAGGAAAGAAAAAGGGAAGGAAAGGCAGGAAGGTAAAGAAGAAAGGAAGGAGAAAGGGAAATAAAAAGTGAAAGAAGGAAGGAAACAGGGAGGGAAGAAAGGAGACAAAGGAAGAAGTAGAGAAAGGGGGAAGGAAGGAAGGAAGGAGAGAAGGAAGGATGAAACCAAAGAGCGAAAGAAGGAATGAAAGAAAGAGGTAAAGAAGGAAGAAAGGAGAGAAATAGAATCATAGAATCAAAGAGTTGGAAGAGACCTCATGGGCCATCCAGTCCAACCCCCTGCCAAGAAACAGGAATATTGCATTCAGATCACCCCTGACAGATGGCCATCCAGCCTCTTTAAAAGCTTCCAAAGAAGAAGCCTCCACTGCACTCTGGGGCAGAGAGTTCCACTGCTGAACGGCTCTCACAGTCCAGATATCTACCTCTACTTCAAATTTTTTTACTATAGGCCACAGCAACGCGTGGCAGGGCACAGCTAGTAGCTTTATAAACAAGCACCGTGGTATCCCTACGGATGTCCCGGTCCTCAAACGCTCTGTGCTTCATTCGGAAAAATGCTGCACTCGCAGAGCTCAGGCGGTGTTGTATATCCTTGTGGGAGGCTGCTCTCATGTCTCCGCATGGGGAGCTGGAGCTGACAGAGGGAGCTCATCCATCCTCTCCCCATATTCGAACCTCCGACCTGTTGGTTTTCAGTCCTGCCAGCAAAAGGATTTAACCCATTGCACCACTGTGGGCTCCTATAATCCTGTATTCAAAAGTGATGGTTTCAAGGCATTCCCATCATTAAAATTGAACTCGTCCCCTCCTTGCTTTCTAGTTTTGCATTTCCATTGCTGTTTACATGCAACCTGGTGGTTCATTGCTGAAAAGGTCTTCTATGAGGCAATTCCCAGCAAATGCTTAAGGCTACCATCTTCTTCCTCTCTGTTAGTTGCAAAGATGCTGCAAGATCCCTTTGTATACTGATAGGCCAGACTAACAGGGCTCTCTCTGCCTTTGAATGGTTTCAGAGATGTGATTTGAGTGCCCCCTTGTGGCCACCAAAACACCAGAATTTAAATTTTCTTTTTCTTCATTATTATTTATTTTGTATCAGAAGCATTGCATAAATTAGTATAAAACTGATAAAAATAGAAGGCGCACAGGCGGCTAAATATCTTTTGGTCAAAAACGGGCAACAGCAACAGCATTGTCTGTAGCCTCCAATAATTCTTCCTCTGTACTTGAAGCAGGACATAGAGTACAAGCATAGATGGTGTGGTCACACAAGGTGTGGGATTCTTTTAGGTTGTGCCATGTTGCCAGGTTGTCTTTTAATCTGCCGACTCTACTTTTGATCTGCCCACTCCACCCCCTGCCAAGAAGCAGGAAAATTACATTCAAAGCACCCCCGACAGATGGCCATCCAGCCTCTGTTTAAAGGCTTCCCCAAAAAGCTATATATGCCAATAAAGCCTTATTGAATTGGTTGACTCAGAACCTGAAAAGCTTCCAAAGAAGGAGCCTCTACCACACTCCGGGACAGAGAGTTCCACTGCTGAACGGCTCTCACAGTCAGGAAGTTCTTCCTAATGTTAATTTAATATAAAAAAAATAAAGGGACCCCAATAAGAGAAACTGATTGGACAAAAGTGACAAACTACCTGAAACAGAAGAGTGGAAATACAATAATATAAAAGGAATAGAGAATAAGATGGGAAAAAAGACAAGATACAAGAAAGAAGAGGAAAAACCACTCTGAAGATACTTAGGAAGTCAACAAAGGATACACAAACTATCCTTCTCCTGGTTTTAACTACTTTTTTCTTTTTCTTTTTTCTTTTCCTTTTTCTTTCTCTCTTTCCACTTCCCCACTTTCTCTCTCTCTCTCTCTCTCTATCTTTTATTTTTTTCTTTCTTCTTTGTTTATTTTTGGGTTTTTTTGTGTGTTATTGCTATCTCTACTATTATGCATTTTTAATGAAAATTTTCAATAAAGATCATTTTTTTTAAAAAAGGAAGTTCTTCCTCATGTTCAGATGGAATCTCCTTTCTTGTAGTTTGAAGCCATTGTTCCATTGCGTCCTAGTCTCCAGGGAAGCAGAAAACAAGCTTGCTCCCTCCTCCCTGTGGCTTCCTCTCACATATTTATACATGGCTATCATGTCTCCTCTTCTCTTCTTCAGCTTAAACATGTTCAGCTCTTTAAGCCGCTCCTCATAGGGCTTGTTCTCCAGACCCTTGATTGTTTTAGTTGCTCTTCTCTGGAGCTATGTGTCCATTGAACACATACCTCCTTGGATATGACAGCAACCTTCCCTGTCTACAAGGATACAAATATTTGTGTGTATGTGTGTTTTGATATTTTGAAGCAAAGCAGTGATAGGTACCTGCTGACTTAAAGCTGCAGTTTGTTCCCTTTCTGGGAAAGCCAGGTCCTGAGCCAGGAAATCCAAGACAGTGGCCAAGTTTGGGCATCATGCTCTGGCCTTCCTTCATGCCACTCCACATTCTGATCTCATCTCTGTACGATGACACGGCAACCAAACTTGCAAACTTGTGCTCTTCTTCAGGGCAGTTGGTCAAACATCCACATTCACTGAGGTTGAAGGCACGGGAAAGGGGTCAAAACAGGAACAGAAAATTTTCCAAATGGTGTTATTTTCTTCTTGTTTGTTTCATAGGCACCTGCCTGGACTGCCAAGGCAACACCGAAGGCACCCACTGCGAGAAGTGCAAAGGGCAGTTCTACCAGAATAACTCTCATCCCCACGAGTGTCTCCTTTGCCCCTGCTCCACCGTGACGTCCAGCGGAAGCTGCCGGATACGTAAGACAGGCTCCCAAATGCACATATTGTTGCCCAGTGTCAATATCTGGAGGCTGATGCCTCTCGTATCACCAAGAGAATGCATCTGTTTCAGAACTTAGTCCCAACTTTAATAATAATAATAATAACAACAACAACAACAACAACCACTTCACAATGTCTGAGGATGCTTGCCATAAATGCAGGCAAAATGTCAGGAGAGAATGCTTCTAGAACATGGCCATATTGCCCAACAAAAACGACAACAACCCTGTGATTCCAGCCATGAAAGCCTTCGACAACATGGATACATTCCAACTGTCATTAAGGAAACATGGGGAAGGGAATTCCCTCAGCCTATACAAAACTATCTAACTGCTCCTCATTGAGGACTTGAGACTTGGTCAGTGTGGGGTTAAATTCCAAAAATGGGGATAGCACTATTTTACTTATTCAACATTATTTACATCCCTTCCCCACAACGAGTTGAAGGTTGAGGTTTAAATAAAGCGGCAGAAAGAGAACCAAGAGGGGTCTGCCACCGAGAAACAACCCTCTTACATGTCTCTAGTTGTGCCTTGAGATTGGCAAATTGTGGCCAAAGGAGTGACCGGCAATCTCTCTTCTTACACAGTTCCCGGTGACCGTTCCCCGACTTGTGACAAGTGCCGGCCTGGCTACACCGGGCCCCTCTGCAACCAGTGTGCCAACGGCTACTACAGCTCAGACAGCATCTGCGTCAGATGTCACTGCAATGGGAATGTCGACCCGATCCGGACGCCGAGGGTCTGCAAGGTTGAGACGGGAGAATGCCTCGGGTGCCTCTATCACACGGCGGGGCCTCGCTGCGAAACGTGCCAAGAAGGATACGCCAGACTCTCGGAAGAAGGGAACTGCACCAAGAAAGGTACAAGTTAGAATCATGGAATCAGGGTGTTGGAGGAGGCTAGGAAGATTAAGGGGCAGGCAGCAAACAACCATCATGGTACTAACATTTATCCCATGTAATGATAAATAATAATAAAACTTTATTTATATACCGCTCTATCTCCCCGAGAGGGACTCAGGGCGGTTTCCAAGCAACATCACCAAAACAGATGGCAGTACTGGTAAGTGGCAGGTACTGGCTTGTTCAGTAGACTCTTCTCTACAGTTCCATTTTGGCAGGAAGCCAAAAACAGCATAACAAAAAAATTAACAAAACAACATAAGCATAAAATTATCACAATTACACACATATATTAAAAATAATCCTGCCTGTTCAGAGCAATTAAAAGGCTGGGTTGAGGCTAGTGCAACTCAAAATATGAGGGGACCAGGAATTAAGTACAGTGCTATAACAGGCTAACTGGAATAGCGGGTACGGGTCTGTGGCTGCTCATTTCCAGGGCCTATTAGAGGGATGACCGAGGTGATAGGTAGGAAGCATAGGCCATATTCAACAATGTTTGGGGCTGGGCTAGAACTGATCATTCTTAAAGGCTTGTTGAAACCACCAAGTCTTCAAGCTCCTACGAAAGGAGGGGAGGGATGGGGCCTGTCTTATTTCCCTTGGAAGGGCGTTCCAGAGGTACATTATAATATTATAATGTAATGCAATATAATAATAATAAGATATTATAATTATATACTAATATTACATGTAATATTACTAATAATATTACAGTATAATGGTATAGTACAATATAGTAATATTTAATACTGATATTGTACTATGCTAATAATATAATGTATTGTGAAGTGACTGGTTTGATCTTGAAGGAGCTGGGGGTGGTGACGGCCAATAGGGAGCTCTGGCATGGGCTGGTCCATGAGGTCATGAAGAGTTGGAAATGACTGAATAAATAAACAACAATAACAACAACATGTATATATACCTTGTAAACCTCTCTGAGTCCCCTTCGGGGTGAGAAGGGTGGCATATAAATGCCATAAATACATAAATAAATACACTGTATCTTGAAACTGACAATGATCATGATAATAACAGAATGCTTTCATTTCCTTTTCAAAAAATGCAGAAATCACTCCTGGCCCAGCGGTCAGAGGGCTCGTCCCTTCAGTCCCAAATGTTAGCACTTCGACATCTTTCCCCACAACAGCGGAGGTGGCCACCAATGCCACGGCGACTCCGACCACAGCGCAGACGGCCTTCCCCTTTGGATCCTCTGACAACAGCACCGCTTTGGCCGACGTCTCCTGGACCCAATTCAATATCATCATCCTCACTGTCATCATCATCCTGGTAGTTCTGTTGATGGGCTTCGTGGGTGCCGTTTACACGTATCGCGAGTATCAGAACAGGAAGCTGAACGCCCCGTTCTGGACCATCGAGCTCAAGGAGGACAACATCAGCTTCAGCAGCTATCACGACAGCATCCCGAACGCCGACGTCTCTGGATTGTTGGAGGATGACGGGAACGAGGTGGCCCCCAACGGACAGTTGACGTTGGCGACCCCCATGCACAACTACAAAGCTTAGCCGAGGGTTTCAATGAAGAGACCCCTTTGAGCAAAGCAACAAAGGGCTCCTTGGCAGATGATCATTTTTTCTTGAGATGGTCATGGGACCAACTTAGAGGTCAAGACGTTGGCCATAATAAGGAAGGCCTTTCGGGTCAAATCCCAGGCGGCATTGTGTTCATCATTCTCCATCCAAACCCATGGATCGTTACTTGTATTTAGGAAGTAAAATGGAGTTGCTTTGGAGTCTATTTTTCTACGAAACGATGGAGTCATACCAAGGAGTCATCTCATAGCAAATCAAAAACTGCATCATTTTTGTAAGATCCTGTCTTTGACAAACTTGTAGGAAATGGACCTTTGTGTTTTTTTTTAATCGAAAGAAGGAACCCCAAGCTTTGTTCCTTGCCTTGAAAGAGTTTTGCTATTTAAAAATTAATGAAAAATATATGTTTTCCAGAACGGCTAGGACTAACTGAGGAAAAGCAATCAAAGTTTTGCCTTTGACTCTGAGAAAAGAACTCAAACTTCTTTCCCCTGAGAAATAAGCTGTCGACAACTCAGCCCTCGACGTTTTCTGACAACTTTGTTCTATTTAAAATGCAGGAATCCATTTATTTTCGTAGCTTTACTGAACGTGGATTCTCCCAAAGGATGCGAAGGAGATGTGGCAGGCTCCTCTCTCAAGAGTCTCCCATCCGTGGTGGAAACGGCATGTCTTCAGAATGTAACACAGAGATTCCTCGGCACTGTATTTGTAACTATTTGTACAAAAGTATCGCAGGCCATATTTTATCTGTACAGTGGTTCATGGCGTTGTTTAAAAACAAAACGAAACAAAAATGAAACCGAGAAGGAGAGCGAGTATTGTATTAAAGCCCTGTAAATTGAGATGGCAATACCGTTGGAGCTGGGTCTCCGGCAAAGGTCAGTTGCTAACGTCCCCCTCCTCTTCTGATAATAGGAGTGCATTTGTGTCTTAACTTGAGCGTTTCTCTTGCTTGCTTTGTTTGAATCTTCACAGATTTCCCCCTCTTTCCCTCCACCAAACCTCAAAGGCACCATTCCTCCCAGGTCGAGCGGATTTCTCGGTGAGGCTCAGATTGGGTTCACCAAGTGTAGGAACACTTCTCTCAACTCCAAGAAAGCCTAGAGAACCCATCAGGAACCTTGAATGATCTCTCTCCCTCCCATTGTAGTTATTTAAACCCTTCTGTGCTGCTTAACCTATTGAATTCCTATTGCTTTTGCCTCTCACGACCCCCATCTCTGATGTCCTCAGTTGTTGTTGCTGCCTCCAGGTGTGGCAAGACTTGTCCAGAATGTGAGCCATTGCCTTCCTCTGAAGCTTTTTTGTCATGTCAGGAGCGACTTGAGAAACTGCAAGTCGCTTGTGGTGTGAGAGAATTGGCCGTCTGCAAGGACGTTGCCTGGGTGACGCCCAGATGTTTTGATGTTTTATCATCCTTGTGGGAGGCTTCTCTCGTGTCCCCGCAGGAGGAGCTGGAGCTGATAGAGAGGGAAGTCATCCACACTCTCCCTGGATTCGAACCTGCGATCTGAAGCTGAGAGATTGTGACTCAATCCAAAATGGGTTTCCATGGCTGAGCAGGGATTTGAACTCTGGTCTCCAGTTATGGCCCTGTATTGAAACCACTGCATTAGGCCATTCTTGGAAGCTGGGTCTGTTGTTCAGCTCATGAAAAGAGGACCTAAGCACTGCCAGAAGGTCATTCACCATTCATTATTCAGGGCATCTGTACCGATATGTTGGTGCTTCCTTTGGAACAACCATGCTTTCTTCACTTTTGCATTTTCAAAACATTGGATGTTTTTATGTCATCACTAGCATATATCCCTGGCATTGCCTGGATGTTGGATGGCTACTGACCCCTACTTCCCTCCCTTCTTTCTCTCTCTCTTTCCCTCCTTTTGTACCTTTTCTCCATCTCCTTTCCCCTTCCTTCCTTTCTTCCTTTCCTTTTTTATGTTTCCCACCTCTCTCCCTCCTCTATTCCTTTCTTTCCCTTCTTTTTCTCTTTCTTCCTTCCTTCCTTCCTTCCTTCCTTCCTTCCTTCCTTCCTTCCTTCCTTCCTTTTTTCTTTCTTTCTTTCCTCCTGACAGTTTGTTAAACAGTCTCTCTCTCTCTCTCTCTCTCTCTCTCTATATATATATATATATATATATATATAATGTCTTCATTCCCAACCCACAACGTAGCCCAACCCTTCCCTCTAGTAGCCTACATATATATTAGGCTTGTGCACAGTTTTCGTTTCCTCCGTTTCCTTCGGTACCTTTGGTACTTCAGGAGCTCATTACAGTAAGGGACTTCCCGGTATGAAAACCTGCTCGACACAAAAGTAAGAAGGAACCAGTTTCGGCTCCTCCTCCCCTATTCGGCACCACAGTTTAATCTTTTTATTTTCCTTTATTTTCAGATTCTTTTTATTTAGTGAGACTGACTGCATTTCCAGTTGGAGCGGTACCTATTGATCTACTCACATTTGCATGTTTTCAAACTGCTAGGTTGGCAGAAACTGAGGCTAACAGCAGGAGCTCACACCGCTACCAGGATTCGAATCTGTGACCTTTGGATCAGGAAGTTCAGCAGCTCAGTGCTTTAACCCACTTTAACCCAGAGAGAGAGAGAAAGAGAGAGAGAGATTGATTGATTGATTATAATAATATACTTGTTGTATCCCTCTATTTCTTTGCGGACTCCCAATATCCAGGCTTCTGGGGGAAGAGCAGAACAGCACAGTTTCAGAGTCGCCTTGCATGCACCTGAATGCAGCAGGCTATCATTAAAAGTTCAGCCTTTTGATACAGGTAGGAATGGCAACCCCAAATCTCAAACATGCCTTGTGTGGGCTATGATTATTTTGGGCCATGTCCATCCATAACCCATCTGGTTTGGGTGACGGCAAGCGTACTCTGGACAGAGCATCGGAATCGGGCACCAAACAGCAAGGTTAGCTGCTCCAAGGCTTGTTTTCAACAGGGCAGCCATTCTGTCTTATGGACTCCAGAGATTGACGTGCTTTTTCCACCAGACGTTCCCAAAGAGAAGCTGCAAAGAGCAGGCAGTGTTTTTGTTTCTATTTTTCCTCAATCTTTAGTGAACTAGCTAGTAAACTGCATGACCATCTCCAAATTGTAGCAAGAGACTGCATGAATTGTTTCGTGAAATAGGCCTTGCATTGGATCCAGCCAAATATCTTTACCAAATAGGGGAGGACTGACTTACTTACTTAGGCGATCCCTTATTGTCCGAGTAGGATTGTCTTCCAAAATCGGTGGGTCCGTAGGTGACTGTGGAGCCCTAATCTTGACCTGCATGTTCTCCAGCAGTGAGGGCATTGGTTTCCAGATGGAGGGTGGCCCCGGTCAGGGTTGGCTCGGCACACCTTCCTCTTGGCACATTTCTCTCTTTCGCCCTCCATTCATGCCTCTTCAAATTCTACAGCACTGCTGGTCACAGCTGACATCCAGCTGGAGCACTCAAGGATCAGGGCTTCTCAGTTCTCAATGACTATGCCAGAGTTTTTAAAGCCCATCTTTACATCTCTTTTCCTGCCCATCAATATTTTGTTTTCCATTCTTGAGTTCGGAGTAGAGCAACTGCTTGGGGAGACGGTGGTTGGGCATCCGGACAACGTGGCCGGTCCAGCAGAATTGATGGCGGAGGACCATCACTAGTGGTCTTTGCTTCTTCCAGCATGTTGATATTTTTCCGCTTGTCTTCCCAAGAGATTTGCAGGATTTTTCGGAGGCAATGCTAATGGAATCGTTCTAGGAGTTGCATGTGACGTCTGTAGATAGTCCACGTCTCACAGGGTTGGGAGGACAATAGCTTTATAAACAAGCACCTTGGTATTCCTATGGATGTCCCGGTCCTCAAACACTCTCTGCTTCATTTGGAAAAAAGCTGCATTCGCAGAGCTCAGGCAGTGTTTTATTTTGGTGTCAATGTTGACTTTTGTGGAGAGGAGGCTGCCAATGTAGTGGAAATGGTCAACATTTTCTAATGTTACACCATTAAGCTGTATTTCTGGCATTGGAGAAGGATTGGCTGGAAGAGCACTTTGGTTTTCTCGATGTTCAGTGATAGGCCGAGCTTCTCGTATGCTTCCGCGAAGGTGTTTAGAGTGGCTTGTAGGTCTTCTTCTGAATGCACACAGACCTTTACCAAATAGGGGAGGAAGACATCATGGCTTGAATGTCTTGGTCGAATGCATCATTCTAAGCTTCTCATAAAATACTCCCATTTATTTATTCCTTTGACTCACGTAACGGAGATTTGGACCTGCTGTTGGAATACCGGTTGCACTCTCACTTCCAAATACAACCCATTGGGTTTATTTGATTCCCTTCCTCTTCCCCTGAGCATATGTTGAGCTAACAAAATACAGTTATTTGGGGAGGGAAATGGGAGGGAGCGTGGGAATGGGGAAGGGTTGAAGGATGCGAATGATCGGAATATATGTTGGAATTTATACGGAAGAATGTTATTTAAAATGAATTAAAATTTCAAAAAATTGATATAATTTGTATTTACTCCCATTGGGCTTTTGTATATATATATTTTAAAGAAGTGATATATGCCGTGAACAAGTCTCTTTCATTCAGCTTTTAAGGTAAAGCTATTTGTTTTGTTTAGGATTCAGTCACAAAAGTGTACAAATTAATGTTGTGTTACCATCTGGATCTACACTGCCATGTAATACAGTTTGGAACTACATTATTTGGTTAGTGTTGACCCATGAAATACATTATATGGTCAGTGTAGACCTACATGGTGCATTATAGGGTCAGTGTAGACCCATATAATGCATTATAGGGTTAGTGTCAACCCATATAATGCACTATAGAGACAGTGTAGACTCATATAGTGCATTATAGAGTCAATGTATGCTCATATAATGCACTATAGGGCCAGTGTAGGCTCATATAATGCATTATAGGATCAGTGTAGACTTGTATTAAAGCCCCATAGGGATATTGTACACTCATATAATCCACTATAGGGATAATGTAGACTCATATAATGCACTATAGGGATAATGTAGACTCATATAATGCACTATAGGGACAATGTAGATTCATATGTGCAATACAGAGTCAGTGTATACTCATATAGTGCATTATAGGGCCAGCGAAGATTCATATAATGCATTATAGGTCAGTGTAGACCCATATAATGCACTAAAGGGACAGTGTAGACTCATATAATGTATTATAGGATCAGTGTAGACTCGTATGATGCACTATAGGGATAATGTAGACTCATATAGTGCATTGTAGAGACAGTGTTGTTGTTGTTCATTCGTTCAGTCGTTTCCGACTCTTCGTGACCTCATGGACCAGCCCACGCCAGAGCTCCCTGTCGGCCGTTACCACCCCCAGCTCCCTCAAGGTCAGTCCAGTCACTTCAAGGATGCCATCCATCCATCTTGCCCTTGGTCGGCCCCTCTTCCTTTTGCCTTCCACTTTCCCCCGCATAATTGTCTTCTCTAGGCTTTCCTGTCTCCTCATGATGTGGCCAAAGTACTTCAACTTTGTCTCTAGTATCTTTCCCTCCAGTGAGCAGTCGGGCTTTATTTCCTGGAGGATGGACTGGTTGGATCTTCTCTCAGTCCAAGGCACTCTCAGCACTTTCCTCCAACACCACAGCTCAAAAGCATCGATCTTCCTTCGCTCAGCCTTCCCTAAGGTCCAGCTCTCACATCCGTAGGTTACTACAGGGAATACCATGGCTTTGACTAGGCGGATCTTTGTTGCCAGCCTGATGTCTCTACTCTTTACTATTTTATCGAGACTGGACATTGCTCTCCTCCCAAGAAGTAAGCGTCTTCTGATTTCCTGGCCACAGTCTGCATCTGCAGCAATCTTTGCACCTAGAAATACAAAGTCTGTCACGGCCTCCACGGTTTCTCCCTCTATTTTCCAGTTGTCAATCATTCTTGTTGCCATAATCTTGGTTTTTTTGACGTTTAGCTGCAACCCGGCTTTTGCGCTTTCTTCTTTCACCTTGATTATAAGGCTCCTCAGCTCCTCCTCGCTTTCGGCCATCAGAGTGGTGTCATCTGCATATCTGAGGTTGTTAATGTTTCTTCCAGCAATTTTCACCCCAGCTTTGCATTCATCAACCCCGCACATCGCATGATGTGTTCTGCATACAAGTTAAAAAGGTTGGGTGAGAGGATGCAGCCTTGCCGTACGCCTTTCCCAATCTTGAACCAGTCTGTTGACAGTGTAGACCCATATAATGCACTAAAGGGATAATGTAGATTAATACAGTGCATTACAGAGTCAGTGCATACTCATATAGTGCATTATAGGGCCAGTGTAGACTCATATAGTGTATTACAGAGTTAGTGTATATTCATATAATGCATTATAGGACCAGCGTGATTCATATAATGCATTATAGGCCAGTTTAGGCTCATATAATGCATTATAGGGAGAGTGTAGACTCATATAATGCATTATGGTTCAGTTTGTGCTCATATTATGCACAATATGGCCAGCGTAGATTCATATAATGCATTATAGGTCAGTGTATGCTCCTATAATACACTATAGGGCCAGCGTAGACTCATACAATGTATTATAGGATCAGTGTAGACTCCTATATGATGCACTATAGGGATAATGTAGACTCCTATAACGCACTATAGGGATAATGTAGATTCATATAGTGCATTATAGTCAGTATGCATTACAGAGTCAGTGCATACTCATATAGTGCATTATAGGGCCAGTGTAGACCCATATAATGCATTATAGGAGCAGTGTAGACCCGTATGATGCACTATATGGATAATGCAGGCTCATATAATGCACTATAGGGAAAGTGTAGATTCATATAGTGCATTATAGTCAGTATGCATTACAGAGTCAGTGCATACTCATATAGTACATTATAGGGCCAGCATAGAATTATATAATGCATTATAGGTCAGTGTAGGCTCATATAATGCATTATAGGGACAGTGTAGATTCATATAATGCATTATAGGGTCAGTGTCAACCCATATAATGCACTATAGGGACAGTGCAGACCCATACAATGCATTATAGGGCCAGCATAGATTCATATAATGCATTATAGGTCAGTGTAGGCTCATATAATGCATTAGAGGGACAGTGTAGACTCATATAATGCATTATAGGATCAGTGTTGACTCATGTAATGCACTATAGGGGCAGCGTCAACCCTTACAATGCATTACTGGGTCAGTGCCGACTCATATAATGTAATTTAACTACACTGAACTGCATCATATGGGTCTACACTGACTATATGATGCAGTTCCAAACTGCATTATATGTCAGTACAGATCCAGCCGTAGTCCTAGAGGGCACCAGGTTAGAGAAAAGGATAGGCAAAAATACATAAAAAGGAGAACCCACAGAAATCTCCAACTGAAAAAGACTTGTGTTGGGAAGGGGATCCAAGGAAAGTTCCCATTTTACTGGCAGCCAGACAGCATCTGCTTGTATCTGCAATGCGTTAATCCTAATCCTAAAAGCATGCCTTCCCGGCTCTCGACTCGTTCCACCCGACCCACAGATGCTGGCCTTTCGTGGCTGAACCTGCCTTCCAAACAGACAAACAATGCCCAGACGCTGAACTTTTGCTGTCGTCGGCTGCAATTTCCCGGTTTAAGAGGGGCTTAATAATCGCCTGAAATGGACAACTCATTAAGATAAGACTCAACAAAAAGAGCCAATCTGATTAGCGTCGCTGGGCAAATTTGTTAACTGCTTCAAAATGATACCATCACTGTCCCCTCTTTCAGGTCTCAGTAGTATTTTCAGAAAGCGTAGAATACGACATAAGCGTACATAAATAAGCATCTCAGTTACCTGGAACTCTCAAGCAATTGGCAAAAAAATTGAAGAAAAAAATTGAAATATATATAGAGGAAGCTAAAAATCAAGGTATGTATGTATGTTGGTTTGTCCCACAAGGGCTCCTCCATGGATTAGTGGATCTGGACCAAATCTGGACCACAGACCGTTTGATGCCGGAAATTGGCAGTTTTTCAAAGCACCGAGGATCCCGAGGGATGTTCCTCGCTATCCGAGGAACGGTGCTCAAAGGATACAAGTGTTAAAGGATAACCATAAGCAGGCATTTTTATACATGAAGATTCTCATGAATTAACATTGCTATGTTTTGAAACTCCCTCCCTTTCCCCTGATTGGCTGTCGCTGAGAAGCCAGCTGGCGTTCTCCAGGCCTCTGATTGGCCAGGAGGCAGGTCCTTGCTGGTGCACACCCTGATTGGAGGAAGCAGTGGTGATGCAGGTGGGGATCTCCTCCCAGCTGGCTTCCAATAGGCCGGTAGAGGTAGTCTTGGGGGAGATGTCTCCAGAGGCTATGCCAGCATTTCTCAACCTGGGGGTTGGGACCCCTGAAGGGATCACAAGAGGGCTGTCAAAGGGGTCGCCGAAGACCATAAGAAAACACAGTATTTTCTGTTGGTCATGGCGATTCTGTGTGGGAAGTTTGGCTCAATTCTATCGTTGGTGGGATTCAGAATGCTCTTTGATTGTAGGTGAGCTATAAATCCCAGCAACTACAACTTCCAAATGTCAAGGTCTATTTTCACAAAACTCCACCACTGTTAACATTTGGGCATATTGAGTATTCATGCCAAGTTTGGTCAAGAGTTGTAGTTGCTGGGATTTATAGTTCACCTACAATCAAAGAGCATTCTGAATCCCACCAGCGATAGAATTGGGCTAAACTTCCCACACAGAACCGCCATGACCAACAGAAAATACTCCTTTGATACCCCTGGCAACCCCCTCAGGGGTTCCAAGCCCCAGGTTGAGAAACATTGGTTTAGGGACTTATAAGCTAAAGCCAGCACTTTGGATGGGAAAGGTGTATGAAGGAAAGAATGGAAGAAGGAAATAGAGAAGGAAGGAAGGAAGGAAGGGAGGGAGGGAGGGAGGGAGGGAGGAAGGAAGGAGGAAGGAAGGAGGAAGGAAGGAGAGAGGAAGGAAGGAGGGGAGGAAGAAGGAAGGAAGAAGGAAAGAAAAAGGAAGGAGGAAGGGAAGAAAAGGAGAAGAAAAGAAGGAAGGAAGGAAGGAATGAAGGAAGGAAGGAAGGAAGGAAGGAAGGAAGGAAGGAAGGAAGGAGGGTGTATGAAAGAAAGAATGGAAGAATGAAATAGAAAATGAAGGAAGGGAGAAAAGGAAGGAAGGGGAAGGTGTATGAAGGAAAGGATGGCTCCTTTCACATCAGCTGGCTGTGAAGGGGCGGTCCTTAGCCCTTCCCTATCGCTGACTGCGCAGGCGCTTCCAACATCCGGGCCTTCCCTCCCCTGGCATCCCTGAGTCCCTCAACAAAGATGGCGCTCGAAGCCCCCTCAAAGAACAATTCCCTCGAGGAAAGAAAGAGCTCGCTCTGCCCTTGAGTGCAGTTGCCCTTCCAAGGGCGGCTGTGTCGGCTTCAAGATGGCGGACGGGCTTTTCCAAAATGGCGCTCGGCTCCACAACAGATTATAGAGAGCTGATCGTTCAAAACTCTATTATTACTATTAATTATTTAGACTGGATAGCCATCTGTCAGGGACCCTTTTGTACTTTTCCTGGTTGGACAGGGTGGTCTCTATAATTTAGTGAGTCTATGATTCTCGAGCCCCGCCTCCTTCCCCGCCCACTTTTGCCACATCGATTCCCTCAACAAAGATGGCGCCGGAGGCGTTTCTGGAGAGGGAAGAGGGCACGCGGCCTAAGGCGGTCTGCGGCTGCCCTTCTGAGGGCGGCTTCGTTGGCTTCGGGAAGATGGCGTCGGGCTGAGTGGCGGTTTGAATTCCGAGCCCGCCGCCAAAGTCGGGAGCAGAGCAGCCCGTGCCACCGGCGGAGGAGCCGCAGCCGCCCGCTCTCGTCCCCTCTCTCTCTCCCTCCGCCATGGACTCCCTCCCGGCGGAGGACCCCACCTTGCCCTTGGGCTTCAACGGCAGGTGAGGACGAGGGCGGGTTTGGCCCTCAAAAGGCGCTAGGCCGCGAAAAGGGGATGGGGGGGGGGGTTAACTCCTTCGGGCCCAAGACTGAATTCCAGTCGGAGGACAAAGAAGCAGGCGTGAGAGAAGAGAGATCTTTCCAAGGGAAGGGAAGGGGCATGGGTTCAGTAGAGCCTCCAGGCATAGGCGCAGTCTACCTAAGAGTAACATAGTATTATACAATAGAGCGTCCAGACACAGGCACAGTCTACCTGAGACTTGGATTGGTTTGCTTTTAGTATATACTGTAATAGAATATGAAACTAATAATACAATATAATAATAGATAACAATAATAATATTGCAATATAATAATACAATACTACTGGTACTTACTTAGGCGATCCTTTGTTGGCCGAGTATTCTTGTGGATCCGCAGGTGGCTGTGGAGCCTTATTCTTATTTATTATTTATTTATTTATTGACTTGCTTTGCTTGTATACCGCAGTTTCTCAGCCCGTAGGCGACTCAACGCGGTTCACAACAAGAGCAAAAAGGTCAATCGTACAACATACAATATTTAAAACCATTAACAGCCTAGTATACAAATAATGACACATCAATAACAACACATTAGCATCTCGTAACTAAAATCGTGATCCAATTCGTCATCCATAAATCGTTCCTATATTCATCGTTCAATTGCACTATTTATCTGAACGCCTGTTCAAACAGCCAGGTTTTTAGTTTTCTTCGAAACACGATTAACAAAGGGGCTGATCTAATGTTCATGGGAAGGGCGTTCCACAGCCGAGGGGCCACCAAAGAGAAGGCCCTGTCCCTCGTCCCCGCCAGCCATGCTTGCGATGCAGGCGGGATCGAGAGCAGGGCCTCCCCAGAAGATCTTAGGGTCCTGGCAGGCTGATAGGCAGAGATACGTTCGGACAGGTAGCTTGGGCCAGAACCGTTTAGGGCTTTATAGGCCAATGCCAGCACTTTGAATTGAGCCCGGTAGCAAATCGGCAGCCAGTGGAGCTGGTGCAGCAAGGGAGTTGTATTCTTGACCTGCATCTTCTCCCACAGTGAGGGCATTGGTTTCCAGGTGGACGGTGGTCCCGGTCCTTGGGGTTGGCTTGACGCACCTTCCTCTTGGCATGTTTCTTTCTTTCGTCCTCCATTTGTGCCTCTTCAAATTCTGCAGCACTGCTGATCACAGCTGACCTCCAGCTGGAGACTTGCCCACAGCTGTGTAGACTTGTCCATAGCTTACTTACCTACTTAGGTGAGCCCTCATTGTCCGAGTAGGATTGTCTTCCAATATCAGTGTACTGGTGGTGGGTCCATAGGTGACTGTGGAGCCCTATTCTTGATCTGCATTTTCTCCTGCAGTGAGAACATTGGCTTCCAGGTGGAAGACGGTCCCGGTTGGGGTTGGCTTGACGCGCCTTCCTCTTGGAACATTTCTCCCTTTCTCCCTCCATTCGTGCCTCTTCAAATTCTGCAGCACTGCTGGTCACAGCTGACCTCAAGCTGGAGACTTGTCCACAGCTGTGTAGACTTGTCCATAGCTTACTTACCTACTTAGGTGAGCCCTCATTGTCCGAGTAGGATTGTCTTCCAAGATCAGTGTACTGGCGGTGGGCCCGTAGGTGTCTGTGGAGCCCTATTCTTGACCTGCATGTTCTCCCGCAGTGAGGGCATTGGTTTCCAGGTGGAAGACAGTCCCGGTTGGGGTTGGCTTGATGAGCCTTCCTCTTGGCACATTTCTCTCTTTTGCCCTCCATTCGTGCCTCTTCAAATTCTACAGCACTGCTGGTCACAGCTGACCTCCAGCTGGAGCGCTCAAGGGCCAGGGCTTCCCAGTTCTCAGTGTCTATGCCAGAGTTTTTAAGGTTGGCTTTGAGCCCATCTTTCAATCTCTTTTCCTGACCCACCAACATTCTGTTTTCCGTTCTTGAGTTCGGAGTAGAGCAACTGCTTTGGGAGATGGTGGTTGGGCATCCGGACAACGTGGCCGGTCCAGCGGAGTTGATGGCGGAGGACCATCGCTTCAATGCTGGTGGTCTTTGCTTCTTCCAGCACGCTGACGTTTGTCTGCTTGTCTTCCCAAGAGATTTGCAGGATTTTTCGGAGTCAGCGCTGATGGAATCATTCTAGGACTTGCATGTGACGTCTGTAGACAGTGCATGTTTCGCAGACATATAGCAGGGTTGGGAGGACAATAGCTTTATAAACAAGCACCTTGGTATCCCTACGGATGTCCTGGTCCTCAAACACTCTCTGCTTCATTCAGAAAAATGTTGCACTCGCAGAGCTCAGGCGGTATATTTCGGTGTCGATGTAGACTTTTGTGGTGAGGTGGCTGCCAAGGGAGCGAAAATGGTCAACATTTTCTAATGTTACACCATTAAGCTGTATTTCTGGGATTGGAGAGGGACTGGCTGGTGACTGCTGGAAGAGCACTTTGGTTTATCAATGTTTAATGACAGGCCAAGCTTCTCGTAAGCTTCTGCGAAGATGTGTAGAGTAGCTTGTAGGTCTTCTTCTGAATGCGCACAGACGTCGTCATTAGCATACTGGAGTTCTATAATGGATGTTGTTGTAATCTTGGTTTTGGCTTTCAGTCTGCTGAGGTTAAATAGCTTGCCATCTGGAACACGGTCAGACAGCCCGGAAAACTCACAGCAACCCATTGATGCCAGCCATGAAACCTTTGACAACACAGCATTACTCCTGTTTCATTGTGCTGTTCTTACTTTGAAAGTAGTGGCCATCCTCCAGAATCGTCATTTTTGTGGTTGCACAAACTATTGTTGACTTGGTTGAGACTCGATGATGAGACAGTCTTTGAAAAACTAGAGGAAAATGTGCTGCAGGAGACATCCCTCCTGCAAAGTTTTTGCAATTTAATACACTTTCCCCATGTTTTTTTAAATGATAGAACCAATTAAGAAATGACATTTATAACCCAGGAACAAAAATCACGTTCCATAGTATTATGTGCCCTTTCTTCTTTCTTCCCAGTGTCAACTTTTCCCAACTTCCAGATGTCTCTGGAGACGAGATTCGCATTCATCTGGGAAGTGGAGGAGGAGGAGGTAAAGCTGCGCGTCCATTCTTAAGCTATTGGTCTATTAAAAAAGAAAATGCAAAGCATAATACAATATACAGGCAAGCAAAAAGTGGGTGCTACAAATAATATATGAAAGCTGACTGGCACAACCAGACATAATGAAGACATCTGTCCTCTGATGATGACCTGGGAAGGAATCCCACTGGAGCATTGCAGCACACCCAAATACCTGGGAGTTACCCTGGACTGTGCTCTGACTTACAAGAAGCACTGCTTGAATATCAAGCAAAAAGGTCTGTGCTAGAAATAATATACGAAAGCGGACTGGCACAACCTGGGGATCACAACCAGACACAGTGAAGACATCTGCTCTTGCGCTATGCTACTTTGCTGCAGAATACACGTGCCCAGTGTGGAATACATCTCACCACATTAAAACAGTGGATGTGGCTCTTAATGAGACATACCGGATTATCACAGGATGGCTACACCCAACTCCACTGGAGAAATTACACTATTACAGTGAATGGGTATTGTAATAACTGTTTATTAATTGTGTAATGTGTTAGGTTGTTAACTGTTTTTATACTGTAGCACTGAATTTTTGCTGTTCGTATTTGTTGTGAACCGCTGTGAGTCGCCTTCGGGCTGAGAACAGCGGTATATAAGTAAGGTAAATAAATAAATAAATAAATAAATAAATAAATTTAGCCGGTATTGGGAAGTAGCAGCCAATAATGAAAGACCAAGGCAGTGACATCTCCAGCACATCCTCTGTTCAGGTATCAGCCAGCAAGCCAATTCCTTAAATCAAGAAATGGCTTCCTAAGGTTTACAGAGATACTTTCAGGAACACCTCAGCAAGCTAGAGTCCAAAAGTGGCAGGCTAAAACCCAGAACCTCAATCAGTGGCTAAAACTAGATGAGAAACTCCTTCCTGCGCACACAGAAGTCTTGGCAACCTGGAAGGTGCAGAACAGACTGCTCTGGTACCATGGGATTCAGAGCTAACCTTAAGGAATGGGGCTACCAAGTGGAGTCCACGACATGTGAGTGAGGAGAAGAGCAAACCACAGACCACCTGTTACAATGTAGCCTGAGCCCTGCCATGTCCACAATGGAGGATCTTCTCACAGTGACACCAGAGGCACTCCAAGTGGCCAGCTTCTGGCCAAAGGAAATTTAGTATAATAAAAATACCAAGTTTTTAATTTTGTGGTTGTTTTAATACAATTTTGTTCTGACGCAATAAATAAATACTCCCTTTTCATTGCCTTCTCCTTTGTGTAGGGTTGCCAGATGTGGCGGAAGACACCGTGTCACCCACCAGAGCGCGGTCAATGAAGGACTTTGAAAATGTAAGTGTCCGAGTCATGGCCCCGTGACTAGTAATGCAAGCGGGTCATACTGTTGTTGATTGACGTTGGCCCTTCCTGGTTCATGACACAACAAAAAAGCAGTGGGGGAAAGAAGGCTATAGACAAGAAATGGAAACAACTACATAATTACGACACCCTCCTTTTCCTAGGATTGTGCATCTCATTCCTATTATTCTCTCTAATCACCTGGGCAAATTTAAATATTTGTATCTATAATAATAATAGAGTAAAATAATAAATGTAATAATAGAAATATTAGAGTAAAATAATAAATGTAATAATAATAAATAGAGTAAAATAACAGATGTATTCATAATAGAGCAAAATAACATAAAAGTAATAATAGTAACAGAGTGAAATAATACATGTAATAATAAAATTAAATAGAGTAAAATGATTAAGCGTAATAATAACAATAATAGAGGAAAATGATAAATGTAATAACAATAATGGGGAAAGCCTGGCTCGAGAGCAGTACATGTGAAAAAGATCTTGGAGTCCTCGTGGACAACAAGTTAAACATGAGCCAACAATGTCATGTAGTGGCAAAAAAAGCCAATGGGATTTTGGCCTGCATCAATAAAAGCATAGTGTCTAGATCTAGGGAAGTAATGCTGCCCCTCTATTGTGCCTTAGTTAGACCACACCTGGAATATTGTGTCCAATTCTGGGCACCACAATTGAAGAGAGGTATTGACAAGCTGGAATGTGTCCAGAGGAGGGCGACTAAAATGATCAAAGGTCTGGAAAACAAGCCCTACGAGGAGCGGCTTAAAGAGCTAGGCATGTATAGCCTGCAGAAAGGAATACTAAGAGGAGATATGATAGCCATGTATAAATACATGAGAGGAAGTCATAGGGAGGAGGGAGCAAGCTTGTTTTCTGCTGCCCTGAACACTAGGACGCAATGAAACAATGTCTTCAAACTACAAGAAAGGAGATTCCATCTGAACATGAGGAAGAACTTCCTGACTGTGAGAGCTGTTCAGCAGTGGAACTCTCTGCCCCGGAGTGTGGTGGAGGTTCCTTCCTGGAAGCTTTTAAACAGAGGCTGCATGGCCATCTGTTGGGGGTGCTTTGAATGCAATATTTCCGCTTCTTGGCAGGGGGTTGGACTGGATGGCCCATGAAGTCTCTTCCAACTCTATGATTGTATGATTCTATAATAAATAGAGTAAAATAATAAATGTAATAATAACAATAATAAATAGAGAAAAATAATAAATGTAATAATAATAACAACAGAGTAAAATAATAAATAACCTTGACTCGAGTATAAGCTGAGGGGGGCTTTTTAAGCCTAAAAAAGGGTTGAAAATTGGGCTTATACATTAGTATATATGGCAGTTCAAAACATAAGCAAATACTAGAAGTGTGTCATATTTGGTGACTACTACACAAAGACCTAGGGGTCTGGAACATTAATGTAGTTATCTGGATTTTTGTTGTTGTTAATAATAATATTATTATTAATAATATACTGCTTTTTTCTCTGAAAGAGACTCAAAGTGGCAAACAGTGGTAAAAAACAATACAATTTGAAGCCCAAAGACTATAAACATTCAAATAGAATGAAATCTAGTACTCTTTAGAAATGAGTAACTACTCCCATTGAAAGCATTAGAGTCAAGTACAGGCAGTGACTTTGTGGCTCAAGGCGCCTGAAGCAGCTGACCCTACATTAAAACAATACTGCCAAACAGAAGATTACCAAAGCATTAAACACAAACAACTTAAAAGCATTAGAATTAAAGACGGCCATTGTGTGGCTCCACATCCAGTTATAAATGGAGGGCCGATCTCCTATCAGACTGAGCCCAGAGGAGGATTTCCTCTGCCATTGTCCTCCATTGTGGGAGACTTAACCTTCCCCCAGGAAGGAGATCAATTACCATCAGCACACAGTAGTGTAAATTTTTAAACAGTGGCATCCATGAAAGATGCGTTCAAATAAAGCAACCACATTGGTTTCCCAACCCTTCCGGCACTTCCCAGCTTTGCTATATGCTTCCTCAGCAGAGAAATCTAATACGCTGTTAATAAAACATTGATGCTCTGTACAACAACAGGGTTCGAGCAGGTATTAAAGTTACACCGGCCTCTCTCACTCCAAGCAGCGTTTCTGTACTGACCAGCTTTGTGCTTCACCTAAAGCTGTGTTTCTCAATTTTCCTCTTAACACAACCCCCTTCTGCCGTGCAGGAAGGCACAATCCAAGCACTCCCTACAGATGGCCATCCAGCCACTGCTTCGAAACCTTCAAAGCAAACTAGGATTTCCCTTGATCTGCTAGGTTGAACTGCTAGGTTGGCAGGAGCTGGGCTAACAGTGGGAGCTCACCCCATCCTGTGGATTCAAACGGCTGACCTTCAGGTCAGCTGTTCAGCACCACAATGGTCTAACCCAGTGGTTCTCAACCGCAACGTGCAAACATGGTGAAGTCCGTATGTCATGGGATCTTTCTCCTCTCTCGTATTTATTTATTTACGACATCTATATGCTGCCCTTCTCACGCCGAAGGGGACTCAGAGTGGCTTACAAGTTGTATGTAAATACAATATTATTAGCATAACACAATATTAATAACATACATTCCCATATTGTACTGTAATATTATTAGTAATATTACATGTAATCTGAAATATATAATTATTGTATTATATTGTATTATTATTATATTGTATTATATTATAATATTATTAGCAATATTTTATGTGTATACAATATATTATATTATAAGCACAGCACAATATTAGGATTATTAGTAATATCACATGTAATATAAAAATATAATTCTTGTAGTATTATTAGTATTGTATTATCTTATAATATTATCAATATTATATGTGTATGCAATATATTATACGCACAGCACAATATTAGGATTATATATTACTATATTGTACCACAGGACAATACTGTAATATTGTATATTATAAAAATATAATTCATGTATTGTAGTATTGTTAGTGTTATATTGTATTACGTTATAATATTATTATCAATATTATATGTGTATGCAATATATTATATTATACGCACAGCACAATATTAGGATTATATCTTACTATATTGTATTACACCACTATACTGTAGTATTATTAGTAACATTACATGTAATATAAAAATATAATAGGGATGCTATATTTATTTTAATATTTATACATTAATTTATACATTATTTTAGTAGTTATACACTATATCAAGTCTTTATAAACCTTCCCCACATACTTATACACTACATAACCCTTGGCCTCAGAAAGGAAAAACTGCGAAACAGTCAGTCCACGAAAAGTAAACCATGAAGTAGCGAGGGATTACTGTACTATATTGTACTACACCACTATACTGTAATACTATTAGTAATATTACATGTAAAATAAAAATATAAAAATTCTTATATTGTATTATTATTATAATATTTATTACATTATAATATCAATATTATCATAGCAAATCATCGAGCTGCGGAAAGAGAACTTCAACCTTAAACTGCGCATATATTTCCTGGAGGAACGCATCCAGCAGAAGTTTGATGGCCCCATCGAAGACATCTACCGAATTGTAGGTATTCTGGATTATTGCACCATGCGGGCTTTTGGGAATGTGTGCACACTCCATCCCCCTCACTGTTGTGCATTCCTTGCTTCTCAAGCTGACTAGAGTCTTAGTTTTGGGGGGAAGGAGATATTTTAAGTATCACAACACTGACTGACTGGCTGGCCATTTTGGCTTTTTTGAGCCAAAATGTCAGAGATTGAATTGGCGTGGTGATTGAGAAAAGCAATGTTTGAGTTGTCTGGTGTTATCTGTTATCAGAGTGAGAATTGTCTCTTCTATATTTCCTGATGATACCTTTAGGGTTTCTGTTAGATGCCCCTCTCACATTGACAATGGACACATATCGCCATTTCTCCCCCCAAAGACATGAGTACAAAAGAACACACCCTATAAACACATCCCACCCCCCATCCCCATTCCCCCCCCCCCCCCAAGTGACATGACCACAAGGACTCCTTTTGTAATTATAACAGCAAGGTATTTGAGGAAGTTTGAGGAGTGGGTGTTGGGAGCTCCAGGAAGGCTTTCTTGTGTGTTTGGGTAAATTTGGTGTGCGTTTTGGGTTCTTAAAACCTATTAAATTTTGAAGATGGGGTTGTTGGGCTTCAGGTGTAGCAAGTGGGGTCTTGAGCAGGTATAGGCAAACCCAGAGGACGAATATGGCACATTGGGTTCTTTTCTCAGGCCCTCCTTTCTCTCACCATCCTATTCTTCTCTCCTTCCTTCCCTTCCTTCCTTCCCTACATCCCTCTTTCACCCTTTCTTCCTCCTTCCTTCCTTTACACTTTTTCATCCTTCCTTCCCTCTTTCCACCCTCCTTACCCCTCTATCTTACCCCTTCCTTTCTTCCCTTCTTGTTTTTCCTTCTTGCCCTCTTTCCTCCCCCCCTTTCCTCTTTCTCTTTCTCCTCCCTCCCCTCCCTTTTGTTTTTCCTTCCTTCCTTCCTTCCCTCCCTCCCTCTTCCTCCCCTCCCTCCCTCCCTCCCTCCCTCCCTCCCTCCCTCCCTCCTCCCTTCCTTCCTTCCTTCCTTCCTTCCTTTTCTTTCCCTTCCTTCCTTCCCCTTTTTTCCCTCCCTTCCCCTTCCTCCTTCCTTCCTTCCTTCCATCCTTCCTTCCCTTCCTTCCTTCCTTCCTTCCTTCCTTCCCTTCCTTCTTTTTCCTTCCTCCTTTCCTCCTGGGGGATTTTAACTGGGAGAAGAGAAGATAGAGAGGGAACATGAGAACCATGTTTTCTCTTCCTCCCTCCTTTCCTCCCTCTTTCTTCCTCCTTCCTTTCTTCCCTTTTGTCTTTCCTTCTCCCCCTCTTTCTTCTTCCTTTCCTTTTGTTTTTGCTTCCTTCCCTCCCTCCATTCCCTTCCTTCTCTCCTTCCTTCCCTTCCTTCCTTCCCTACGCCCCTCTTTCTCCTTTCTTTTCCACCCTTTCATCCTTCCTTCCCTCTTTCCTCCCTCCTTTCCTCTTTCTCCTTCCTTCCCTTTTGTTTTTCCTTCCTTCTTTCCTTTGCTCCCTCCCTTCTCTCCTTTCTCCTTCCTTCCCACCTTTCCTTCCTTCATCCTTTTTCTCCTTCTTTCCACCCTTTCATTCTTCCTTCCATCTTTCTTCCCTCCTTACCTCTCTCTCTTACTCCTTCCTTCCCTTTTGTCTTTCCATCTTTCCCTCTTTCTCCTTCCTTTCCTTTTGTTTTTCCTTCCTTCCCTCCCTCCCTCCATTCCCTTCCTTCTCTCCTTTCTCCTTTCTCCCCTTCCTTCCTTCCCTACATCCGTCTTTCTCCCTTCTTCCTTCTTTTCCACCCTTTCATCCTTCCTTCCCTCTTTCCTCCCTCCTTATCTCTCTCTCTTTCTCCATTCCTCCATTCCCTTCCTTCCGTCTTTCCTTCTGTCCATCCATCTTTCCTTCCCTCCTTCCCTTTCTTCTTTTCCTCCCTCCCTTCCTCCTGGGGGATGTTTAGCTGAGAGAAGGGAAGACAGAGAGGGAACATGAGAGCCATGTTTCAAGATTTCAGAGGCTGTCCCATTAATGAGGAGAAGGTGGAGGGGAAAAACTGACTTTCTAGAGATCAGGGCACAAGAGAGCAATGGCTTTAAATGGCGGCAGGGAAAGAGATTCAACTGGAAAGATGAAGAAGACCTTCCTGGAGAGTGGCCTAGGCTGCCTGGGAGTGTGGTGGAGTCTCCTTCTCTGGAGGCTTTTCCGTCGAGGCTCTCTATTGGGAGTGCTTTGATTGTGCCTCCCTTCATGGCAGGGGGTTGGACTGGATGGCCCTTGGGGGTCTCTTCCAGATCTAGGATTCTATATCAGGAGTAGACAAGACATTTGATTGGCCATGGATAACAGAAAATAGGTCTGCCCCATTTAGGGTTGCGTACGTTGGCTCCGCTCCTTGCTATGTTGACAAGAGTAGTGACTCCAGTTGGGTTCCTTTTCCCTGACTTCTCTTCTTTTCCTCCTTCTTTTGGTTCTGCTTCCGGCATTAATCTCCAGGCATGGCTTCATTATATTCCATCGCTGCGATGGACTGTAATAAGAGGGTTTGTGTGACCTTTGTGTGATGTGTAGGATTACTTCTTAAATGACGCTGTTTCGGTGCCGAAATAAAACAATTGCATTAGTCGGAGTCCTAATCAAAGAGCTGCCTTCCCACTTAATCTAAATTGCTTGTTCGGTCTGACTCTCTTATCAGTAAAACAAAAGGTTTCTGAAATTACATTATAATCCTCCCACATCAAACTAACTGTGACAGAAAGATGATTCATGTTAATAGAAGCTGTCTGCTTCTCTTACATGCGTTGCTTCTGGTTCTTTGTTCTGCAAGGCCATCCAGAGCTGCGATCCGATGAAAGCGGAAGGCAGTTCTGCCGTTCCCCCCCTTTTCGGCAATATATCCAGCTGTGGATTCCCCAAAAGACATACCAGTAATACATAACTTAACCCAAAGATGGGGAACCAGTATCCCTCTAGATATTTCAGTGTGCATTTTACCCAAGCCTCTTACTTTTCGCCATTCTGGTAGAAGGTTCTGGATGCCGAAAGAGCAGGCAAACTGGGGGAAATAATAAATGTAATAATAATAATAATAATAATAATAATAATAATAATAATAATAATAATAAGATGAAGAAGACTCTGCAAGGAAGCAGATGAAACAATAGATCACATCCTCAGCTGCTGCAAGAAGATCGCGCAGACAGACTACAAGCAGAGGCACAACACCGTTTCTCAGATGATTCATTGGAACTTGTGCCACAAATACCAGAAAACTGGCAAAAGAAGGCTCTCCATGGACAGTTCCGGGGAAAAATTGAGAGCCAAATTGGCAAAGAAAAAACATGGCTGTGGCTCACAAATGGAACTCTGAAAAAGGAGACAGAGGGGGGCCTGATTCTGGCAACACAAGAACAAGCCATTTGGACCAATGCCATCAAAGCCGGAAATGGAAAGTTGACAACAGATCCCAAATGTAGACTCTGCAAGGAAGCAGGTGAAACAATAGATCACATCCTGAGCTGCTGCAAGAAGATCACGCAGACAGACTACAAGCAGAGGCATAACACTGTTGCTGAGATGATTCATTGGAATTTGTGTCACAACTGCCATCTGCCTGTAACAAAGAACTGGTGGGATCACAAGCCAGAAAAAGTTACAGAAAATGAACACGTCAAACTCCTCTGGGATTTCCGAATTCAGACAGACAGAGTTTTGGAGCACAATACTCCTGAATGGTGTTTAAAAACAAAGTATGGATCATTCATGTTGCAATCCCAAGCAACAGCAGGATTGAAGAGAAACAACTGGAAAAGCTGACATGATACGAGGATTTAAAGATCGAACTGCAAAGACTCTGGCACAAACCAGTAAAGGTGGTTCCAGTGGTGATCGGCACACTGGATGCAGTGCCTAAAGACCTAAGCCTGCACTTAAACACAATTGTCACTGACAAAATTACCATCTGCCAGCTGCAGAAGGCCACCTTACTGGGATCTGCACGCATTATTCACCAATACATCACACAGTCCTAGACACTTGGGAAGTGTCCAATGCGTGATCCAATTCAACAGCCAACAGAGTTTCTGCTGTGGATTCATCTTGTTGTGTTTCAAAATAATAATAATAATAATAATAATAATAATAATAATAATAATAATAGAGTATAATAAATGTAATAATAGCAATAAAAATGGGGTAAAATAACAACTGTAATAATAATAAAGTAAAATAGTAAATGTAATAACAACAATAATAATAAAGTAAAACAAACAATATAATAGTAACAATAATAATTTGAGTAAAATAATGAATGTAATGATAATAAATAGAGAAAAATAATAACTGTAATCATAATAGAGTAAAATAATGAATGTAATAATAATAAATCGAGTAAAATAAGAAATGTAATAATAATAGAGAAAAGTGTTATTAAAATAGATATAATAATAATAACAATAATAATAAAATAGAGTACAATAATCAATGTAATAATAAGAGTAAAATAATGTAATCATAATAAAGTAAAATAATCAATATAATAATAATAGAGTAAAATAATCAATGTAATAATTACAATAATAAAGTAAAATGATAACTGTAATAATAGTATATTACAATAATCAATGTAATAATAATAGAGTAAAATAATAGATGTAATAATAATAAATAGAGAAAAATAAATGTAATGATAACAAGAGGCGCTCGGCTGTTGGCACTGGTAGGTGTACATGCTTTCTGGGCCTGCACGCCACACATGCACTCTTCTTGGAAAAAGAGTATGTTGTGTACAGGCCCAGAAAGCATGCGCGCCTGCAGCTGAGAGGCTCCTCTAGAGTAAGAGGTGCTTGGTTAGCAGGCGCGCACGCTTTCTGGGCCTGTACGTCACACACACACTCCCTTTCCAAGGCTAGGAGGCAAGTGTTGGGAGGTGCTCGGCTGCAGGGGTGTGCGCTTTCTCTCCTGGGCTACACCATGCCAGCCAGTGATATACTCTGCAAGACACATTAAGGAGGCTTCCCACT